AAAAGAGAATACCATATATCTTCATTAATGCTAAGTCACCATGTTGTACATTAGCCCCCTGGAACTTACTTTTCTTGTCTGACTGAAATGCCAAACCTATCTCTCAAAGTCCCTGGTAATCACCATTCTGCAGTCTTCTGTAACCTCAACTTTTCAGGTTCCACATATAAATAAGATGATGTGGTATTTGTCTTTCTGTGCCTGGCTTTTTCACTGAACATAATGTCTTCCAGGTTTATCCATGTTGCAAATGGCAGGATTTCCTTCTTTTTAAAAGCTGAATAACATTCCATTGTGTCTATACACCACATTTTCTTTTTATCCATTCACCCACTGATGGGGACTTAGGTTGATTCCGTATTTTAACTATTGTGAATAGGCTGCCTGCTATGAGTTGAATTTTATCTCACTAGAAGATATGTTGAAGTCCTACCTCGTACCTCTGAATGTGACATGAAAAGTGGAACTTTGTAAATTTAATTAGGGCACAAATCGAGATGAGTTCTTCCCTCCCTCCCTCTTTTTTTTTTTTTTTTTTTTTTGACAGAGTCTCTTTTGGTTGCCCAGGCTAGAATGCAGTGGCATCATCATAGCTCACAGAAACCTCAAACTCTTGGGTTCAAGTGATCCGTTAGCCTCCTGAGTAGCTGGAATTACAGGTGCCTGCCACCACACTGGGCTAATTTTTCTATTTTTAGTACAGATGGGATCTCACTCTTGTTCAAGTTGGTCTCCAGCTCCTGAGCTCAAGAGATGCTTTTGTCTCAGCCTCCCAAACTGCTGGGATTATAGGTATGAGCCACCGTGCCTGGCCTTAAGATGGGTTCTTACTGGAGTAGGCCAGGCCTTTCATCTAGTATGACAAGTGTCCTTATAAAACGAGGAAAAGAGACACAAGCACAGAGAAGAGGGACATGTGATAACAAAGGCAGAGTGGGGGTGATGCAGCCACAAGCCAAGGAAAGCCGGTGATACCAGCAACCACCAAAGCAAGACAAGGCAGGAGCTTGAAAGCCTCAGAGAGGCTGTGGTCCTGTGACACCTTCACTTCAGACTCATGGCTTCTAAAACTCAGAGAATCAATTTCCCTTGCCACCCAGTTTATGGTGCTTTGTTGCACTCATCCTAAGAAACGGGTATGCTGTCAAACTCTTTTATACTTCAAAATACCAGACTGACACAGCCACCACCAAAGGTGACTGAGGGCAAAATGTCCTAATGCCACATGGGTCCTACTGCCCTTCATGGTAATGTGCCTGTGTCAGCCTTGGTAGTCCAGTGTGCTGGCTGGCTTCTGGCCCTCTGAGGTCCCATTGTCTTCACTGGAAACAAGGAGCCATGTCTCAGGGTAGCAAGTATCACCATCATCTGTGTGGCACTGAATTGCCGCTGGGAGCCCGCTGCCTGGGCAGGGTATGTCCAGCCCCTTATGCTGAGTTGTGCCGCCAGTTCTCACAGGGCAACAAGGCAGAGGTAACAGGCTCTGAACAAGGTGAACGCAAGGCGCTTGGTGCCATCAGAGTGAAATTCCTGACTCCTTGCTTTGCCCACCACTGAGCAGGTCTCAGTCATAAGAAATTGGGGATCCTGTGAAAGAAATTTCAGGCCTTTGAAAAGAATCGCAGAAGGCAGAAAGCAGTATGGGTAAATCTCTGAATTTGAGCGTCGTCTTGAGTATAGAATACAGAGGGTAAGCTTCTGTTGCTGTGCAGAAACTCATTCACAATTCATTGATTATTTAAAAGATTCCAGGTAGCCCAGAGGCTGTGGCCCCACCTCATTTTCAGACAGGGACTGAATCATGTTTGTACTCAACAAGTTCAAGTACTATGAGTATCTATAACAGATAGATTTCAAACGTGCTATGATTTAGCACAATGGAAGTTTATTTCTCACTCACAGTGAAGTCCGGCTTCCCTGCGGAGAATCTACTTCACAGGTCACTGGGAGACTTGGGCTGACACATCAGCCATCTTCAGCATGAGGCTCCAAGGTTGTTCTTGGTGCTGGTGTCACATCCGGCTAGAGGAGGGGAGGATGTGGTGGGAGGCTTCCATGATCAAGGCCCAGGAGTTCACACAGCTCTCCTGCCCACACTCCACTGGTCAGCACTTAGTTGCTTGGCCCCACCTAGATGCAAGGAGCACCCCAAATTAGAGTCTGGGCTGGGCAGCCACTTGCCAGTACTGACTCTGTGTGATCGGCATGGAGGAGCACAGGTTGACGGACAGCTGGTCCCCTCCATGCCCTCGCCCCAGCTCAGCCACCTGAGTAGCTGGGACTACAGGGTGCATGCTACATTGCCTGGCAATTTAAAATTTTTTGTAGTGATGGGCTCTATGTTATTCAGGCTGGTCTCAAACTGCTGGTTTCAAGTGATCCTCTTGACTTGGCCTCCCAATTGCTGGGATTACAGGCATGAGCTACCAGACCTGGCCAAGAATGGGTATTTTATTATTTTTAACTAAAATATTAATTATTATGGGCACATAATTTAAGAAGTTTGTTTTACAGATGAAGATATGGAGATACAGACAGGTTCAGTAACTTGCCCAGGGTCACATACCAGTAAGTGATGGAGCTTGGATCAAAACCCTGCAGCCCACCTAACCACCACTTGATATTGTATTTTCCTGCAAAAATTGAGCTGATTTATGAAAAAGAGAAAATGGATGGGAATGTATTCTGTAAAAGTTTAGAGTGAAATAAAACCAGGGGTTTTTGGAACTTTGGAACTTGGAACATGCATGGGGCCCCTGCCATCTGCCAGGCACTAGTAGTCTTCCTCACATCCAGGTTCCTTTGGCACTTGGCACAGAGTGTGGGTTTCACCTTGTTGTGCCCAGGCCTCGCACAGTACCTGGCACATGTGCAATGCTCAGTGTACATTTATTAGTGGATATTTAAAAAGCACATACTGGGTGCTAGAAGAATGAACCAGACATGGTTGTGTCATGAGGGAGGTCAGAATTGGAAAGATGGTTAAAAAGTAAACAGTTCCTAATAAATAGTTTATGGGTGAGAAATAGAGTGATGGAGAGGTGGGTCAGTGCACTGGGATGCAGTGAATAGGCAGCATGAAGAGCACCTTCCTGTTGCAGCCATCTGCCCATCTGCTCATCCAACACATTTATTTAGTGCCTACTATGTGCTGGGTTTCCCTGTTCAACATGCTGGAGATATCAGCCATGGACCAGCTGGACACAAGCCTTCTCATAGCGCGTTTGTTACAGTGGGAGACAGACCTCGCATGTTGGCACATCACAGGTGACTGCTGAAGAGAAGGAAGCAAGGCAAGGGGACAGAATGCTGCAGGAAGCCGTGTCCTGAGCCAGTTCCACACCCGCTCTGACCCGCAGAGCCAGGCCTCCTCTGCACACTCACCTAGCTAAGCGCATGTGTGGAGCTTCACTCAGGACACTTGGTGGCAAGGGTCCCTGATTACAACCCCTGTAACCACGTGCGTATCTTTGCATGTTCCCAATCCTCCCCGGAGCTGCCGCCTGCCTGGACCTCTCTGGTCTTCTAGCCCGGCTCCTGCCAGCCTCCTCTCAGGCTGCTGGAGGAGGGAATGCTCACTCTGTCTCCCCTGTTCCTCCCCAAGCTCCTACAAGTGAGGAGTCAGTCTCTTTCCATTTTCCCAGTGAGCACCCATTCAATACTCGTCCCCTGAGCCTTGCTCCACCTGAAGTCAGCTCTCATGCAGAGTCAGCTGATTCCCCAGAGCCCAGAACAGTTTGCTAAATGATTCCGTGTTAGATAATTCGGTTGGTCAAGTAAATGAATGAAGGCAAGGAAGGTCTCCAGGCTGATGCCTTCCCTGCCCGCCCCCCCCCAACCAACTACTGCAGTTCTTTACTCAGCGCAAAAGGAAAGCCCCTGTTCAAAAATTAAGGATTTTTTAAAAAAGTGACAGCTGAACCTCAAAGAGGGAGAGAGTGCCTTCTGGTGACAGCGCTGTGCTGCTGCGCTGGGGCTCTCCCCCCTCTGCCACCTGTTGCTGGGGTCCAAGCCCACCTTGCTCCCCCTTTAGCAGAAACTTCTCAGGTGGCCTCCTGGGCAGGCGGGCAGACTCAGTGCGCTCCTCAGAGGCTTTCCCGGGAACACCGGCTTCAAAAGGGAGCGGGCGGGTTGAAGGCTTGAGGGAAGGGAACTGCCTGGGAGCCTGAGGCTCCAGGGCAGACCCCTGGGGAACCCCCTTCAACTCTGTCCTGGAGCGCCTCCTTGCTCCTCTGAAGGAGGGCGAGCGATGGTCTCTTTTCTCGAAAGTGACTCAGGTCTTCTGTGTCGGGGCATCTGGCAGCCCACACACGGGCACGCCCGACTGACAGCCAGAGAAACCCACAGGAAGACGGCCCCTCCCCCTTTTCATAGATCTGGGGACCCGCGCTCCCCCACCCCTAACCAGACACACCCGAAGACAGGCCAGGCATAGCGTGACCTGAACACAGAAGGCACACCAGATAAAGAGGCAGGGACGAGGACAGACGCCTGCCCGCACCCCGACCTCTGGGTCCCGCGACACTGACCCTGGGGGACAGCCCGGAGCAGCCCCAGGCACCCGGTCAGGCCTCAGCCAGGCCCGCCGTGCCCAGCCCTCAGACTGGTGGGGGAGGCCCTTCTACCCACTCGCCGCAACCCCGGGGAGCGCGTCTACCCCCGGCGTGTCCCGGTCTTGGCGCGGGACGGCAGGCTGGGGCCCGGAGTGCGGGCGGCCGGGGGGCAGGAGCGGGGAGCTGTCCCAGGTGGGTCCCGTAGTGGGAGAGAGGCTGCCCCTGGCGTTGCCAAGTGAGGGGACGCGGGCAGGGGGCGGCAGTGAACAAGTAGACACCCGGGTCAGCGGGGTGGAGGCGGAGAAAGTGGACGGGCTGGCACCTTGACGAGGGCAAAGGGGCACGGGACGAGGTCAGGCGTCGGAGGGAAGGGGAGGCGAATAAGGGTAGGGGCAGAGGGCGTCGGGGCAAGGACAGGAACGAGGGGCAGCAGGCGGGCCCGGGACAAGAGTCGGTGCTGGTGTCCCCAAGATGCCCCAGGACCTGGGGGCGCCCGCCTCGCCCCAGGCAGCTGTGAAAGCCTCGGGCGCGGGCTCGTCGAGGCCCACGTCCTGCCCGCCGCCCCAGCTCGCGGCCTTGAGGTCCTCGCGGTCACCGCAGCCCCCGGCTTCTCGGCGGGGCGCTGTCCACGCCCCCTTCCCGCAAAAGCTGGCGGAGGCGCTGAGCAGCCAGTATGGGCTGAACGTGTTCATGGCGGGGCTACTGCTGCTGCTGGCCTGGGCGGTGCACGCGTCGGGCGTGGGCAAGAGCGACCTGCTGTGCTTCCTCACCGCGCTCATGCTGCTGCAGCTGCTCTGGATGCTGTGGTACGTGGGCCGCAGCTACGCCCAGCGCCGCCTCATCCGCCTCAAGGACAAGCACGCGGGCGCCGGCTGGCTGCGCGGTGAGTCGGGCCCCTCTGCCGGTCCTGCTCTGTCTTTGCGTCCGTCTCTCCCAGCTCCCTCCTCTTGTCCTTCCGTCTCTCTTCTTTCTCCAGCCTGGGTCGTGCAGCAACTTCCCCCGCCTCCAGGCTCTTGCCTCACCTCCCAGCAGCACAGCCACCTCCTCAGTCTCCCCCTGTAACGCTAGGCAGGACTTACACTGACCCGCGGAGCTCGCCGCCTTCTCAGCTTTGGCCGCAGATGGCCTCTTTCATTTACCCCTTCTTTGCCCCGCATCTTGTGCTCCAGTTATTCTCAAAGACCTTTGTTCGATGGATGTTGCATGCCTCCTTGCCTTCACATGTTTTGTTACCTCCTCCTGGACCGTCCCCCTATCCCCTGCTTTCCAGGACGTGGCTCAGGCCTCACCAAATGCTTCCCTGAACTTCTCCCCACCCTTAGTGATTCTGACGACACCCCTGTAACCCTCACTGTGTCCTGTTGCTCTTATTGACACATCCGTCCCTTCAGTCCCCTGGGAAGCACTGGGATGTTCGTCTCACTCCTGAAGTCACCTCAGGGCCTGGCATGGAGTAGGTGAGTGGGTCAGATACTTGATTGCCCCACCCTGAGCCCTAGTTTCGACATCTGTAGATGGGAGCACACACTGAATGGGGCCTGGTGACTGCTGGGCACAGGGAGGTTCTTCCTACCTTCCCTCTAAAGGTCTTACCCAAATGCCACGTTCTGTGCATGTGCCTGGCAGGGAATTCTCTTCACTGTCCTGGGCCAGGCCTGTGCTCCCTCTGTG